GAATCTAAAGGGGACAGACGGAGATGGCTCCACAAGTGACAGTAAACGTAAATAAAATGTGTCCAGATTTGAAGGGGGCACAATCCAGTCTGCTGGCTGACCTCTAGCCCTGTCAGGAGGACCCTTAGCTTTCTCCTTTGGAATCTGCACGAGCAGCAAGGCTGTGAACCGCAGGCCTGATGCCATGAAACTGAAGAAGCTGCTGAAAAGCCAAACCTGGCTTCAGACATACGTCCTGCAGACAAGCGGCGAGGATCAACAGAGACCACGCTCCCCGCCCCATGCCTCCTCAACCCCCTGTGCTCTGTGATATTCGATCGGGCTTGACACGTCTGCATGCGTCTGCCCACCGTGCCTCACCTCCTTCGCCTGCACACGAGCGCTCATTGCGGGGAAAAGGATGAGTCCCCTTGCTACAAAGGCTGCATGCAGGCCAGGAGGAGGTCAAAAAAGACCAGGCAGACCCACAGAGGAGCCTAAAAGATAAAAATTAAACACCTGTTGATGAGGTGTCAATGAGTCAAATATGAGCTCGCAGAAAAGGAAAGTTTGGAATCTGTCAACTCGATCGGTTTATCTGAGTATCACTCATCCTCAGAGGCCTTTCAAACCGAACCCGTGTAAATATGGCCAAGACTTTTCAGAGTTTCAGCACCCTTTCTAATTCATGTCCCCACCCTTCTAAATCTGCCTATGTTGTCTGCTCRTCTTTATCGCCCTCACCCTGAAGCCCCCCACTCTGATTCTGAAGGAGAACAGGTGCGAGGAGTGTCTTCGCACACACGYGTCATTCCTGAGCCCTGCCTCTCCTTTAGCAGAACCTGTGGCCAAAGCATGCAGAACATTTCCTTCTGTCTTGTAGCTGCAGCGTCTTCAAATCGAGGAGCAAAAATAGCCTGACATTCATGTGAAAGYCAGAGAAGAGGAGGTCTCAGCCCATGGCCAAAGAGTTACGGCATTATTTCTTCATTCAGCTTTTAATCACTGAAGAGGAATCAGGAAATCACCTGTTTATGTTGTTTATGTTTGATGGTTCAAACAGAGGCACTGGTTTCTTGTGTCTTAGCTTTGTCTCTTTGACCTCTTCACTTTGTTTTGTTCTTGTGCAGTGTAGTGTTGTATAAAGTACCACAAAGGGATACTTTAGTAAAAGTACAAGTCTCTTATCAAAAATTTACTTTGGTAAAAGTTAAAGTATCCTTTAGGAATATTACTTGAGTGAAAGTCTTAAAGTATCTGATATTTTTTGTTCTTAAGTATTAAAAGTAAAAGTATTGAATTAAAATGAGCAGTTAGGTTTTCTGTAATGACATTTATTAGGAGGTGATCTCCCCCAAAAACAATGAAGAAATGACTGTTGTATTAAAATAATTAATTTATGTTGTAGGATGCACTAGTCTAGCTGTTTCAGTTTATATATCAAGGCTGTCCAAACCTTTTCTCCAAAATAAAAATCTATCCGAGGGCTGCAGCCAAATGCAATAATATAATTCATGAAATACAAATACTTCTTAAGTACAGTACTTTTAATGATTATGTCCTGCTGGAGTGTGACATGATTTGTTTGTGTACAAATTAATACGGAATCAGAATTTTATATATTTATACGTTTCATTCAACCACAATTAAATTAACTCTATCTAAGAGGCACAATTTATATGGATAATATTTAATTTTTACAATAACAAGCTGGAATGAAAACAAGCAAAAATGAAATTAACAACTTTCTACTTCTTGTCTTTTTTAAAAATGTAAGGAGTAGAAAGTACAGATAACTGTGAAAATGTAAGAAATAGAAGTAAAAAGTTGGCTGAAAAATAATTAGTCAAGTAAAGTACAGATATCCAAAAATTCTACTTAAGTACAGTAACAAAGTATTTGTACTTAGTTACTTTACAACTCTGGTGCAGTGAAGTGTGTTTTATTTACAGCAGCCAGTCCCTGTTGATATTTTCCACCAAACTGCACATTTTTATCAAACATCCAGATTGGTTGAAAAGCAGAAACTTCCTGGAAATGAACGTGAAACCTGAAGCAGTGCAGGTTTCAGCCCTGCAGGGGTGCACAGCTCACGAACGGTAAAACTCATAAAAGCATCAATAACTTCACAACAGTGGCTGATTTGGAGGGAGAGGTGATGGTTAAAAAGCTTGGCGGCCACGTTGCGCGCGCGTTCCCTCCTTTCAGTCGCTAATGAGAATGATAGTTYGTGACTCCTCTGATGACCCCCCAGGCCCCACTCATCCTCCTCCCATAGCGACTTCTCCCATGGGACGTGATTGCAGCAGGACCCTGAGGGACATTCAGGCCTCTGCAGGAATCCTTTTCATCAGAGAGGATTCCCGCCTGTTTCGATTTACATCACGGTTGGTAAAACCGCAGATCTTGGTTGGATCTGCAGTTCAGCGGGGTTGAGCAACAGTTTAAGTTTGAGAATTGAAGCATCCTGTTTCTAGGTTGTTTCGGCCGCAAATACTTTACGCTGCTGGTTTTAACATTTGTTTTATGTTGTCTCTTCAGTTAAAACACACTCATTGTACCACATTTAACATATTGTGTGGAAGTTTGGGGGAATACATACAAAACAAATTTACAGCCGTTATAYGTCTTGCAAAAAAAAATCTATCCGTTTACTACATAAAGTGGGATACTGGGAACACACAAACCAGTTATTCATTAAATCAAATATACTGAAATTCTGGGACCTGGTAATATTTAAAACTACACAATTCATGTTTAAGGTCCAAAACCAAAAACTCCCACACAATATACAGGAAATGTTTGGTGACAGAGAGGGGGGTTATAATTTAAGAGGTGAAGGATATTTTAAAAAACAACATATTAGATCAACCAGGAAGAGTTTTTGTTTATCAGTGTGTGGAGTAAATGTCTGGAATGGATTGAATGATGAGTTTAAAAAATTACAAATGTAAACCAATTTAAAAAACTCATTAAAGCAGAGCTCATTTCAAAATATGCTATATAAGATGTTTAATGTTCAATAGTCTTTAATGTAATTGATGAGATAAATAGTACTTAAAATAATTCTACATAGTTAAACATGATGTAAAATGGAAACAAGTTGTCTCTTTTTGAGGTTCTGAAAGTTARTTGAYAATACATTGACAAGTAGGAAAGGGGCAGGACATTATAAGATGTACTGTATCTTCTACCTGCTCCTTTTTGAACAGAAAATATAAAATTTTGCATGTCACACGGGCAAAATAATTTGTATTACATTTTATTTCTTGAGTTTGTTTCATTCTATTTTCTTTTCTTTTTGATTGTTTTAATGTCTGTTCGAAATTTAAAAAACACTGTCAGCATTGTTTTGTTCATGTTATGATTTCAGTTTATTTCCGAMTCTGAAAAACAGAAATCCTTCCACGAGTTATCATGAAAACAACTTTTCTCCTTTTTGGATCTGATCCACCTTCCTCTCCATCCTTTCTGTTTACATCCGAGCAGGCGCACTTCTCAGCGTCCACGCGCGCGCGCGCCTGGATATTATGTGTGCGCCCGCCTCCTCACCTCCGCAGAGCGGCTACACGACCCGACCTGCCAGCGGGGGAATTACTGACTGGCACCGAGCCAGGCCGCAGGCAGACTAGTTCGCTCGGTTCTCACGACCTCAGCTTCACAAAGGCATCTCTGAACTATTAAGTCAGACACGAAGGCAAAGAGGAACAACCGCAGAAGCCACACATGCTGCCAACTGGTGTTTCAGAATGCCTCCTCCTCCTCTGAGCAGGAGGAAGCTGCTGAAGCATCACTGGCAGCAGAGTTTCGGTATGTTGTGTCGGTGTCATCTGCAGGGCACACCGGCTCTGAGGGCCGAAAGTGAGAACTCAAGAATGATCAAGGGAAAATTAAAACGCTTTCAGTGGAAAGCGTTCATTACGCACAGGACATGAATCAATAATTACGCTTTATCTGCGTAAAAAAGCACTAAACGTTTTTTAAAAATGTGACAAATCCACGTTTTATTATGAGCTCTAAAAGTTTCCAACGTGATTTATAGTTGGTTTGATGTTTAATTTGTCCACAGCAGCTTAGAAACATTTTCGTCGCGTCTTCCTTTATGGCCTCAGCCATGCGCGCATCGAGACGCGCCGGTGAAGTGAATGTTTTAAGGGGGGTTTTGACCCGCGCTGTAACCTAATCCCGAGTTAAGGGGCCTGYTCACAGCAAGTGGCTGACGTACGGCTAGCGTCGTGCCGCCTGACGCAGGGAGAAAAAGACGCTGGCTTCAGTTCCGGAGCCCACTAAAACAGGAGGGGGTCCAAGATAGGTTTACACAGGGATAAACATAAAACGAGGAAAGAGGAGGAGAGCCTTTAATATTCGTGAGGGGGGTGGGAAAAAAAAACAAAAACAAACACCAGTTGCAAGACCACAGTTTTCTGACTAATTTCATGTGAGAGTAAGAGAAATCTCTAAGTGATAATCGAGTTTCATTTCCGCAGCGAGCTTATCTAAGTTTCCTCGTTCCCACCTCTGTCACACTGGGAGTGGAACTGAACAATTGATGCACAAAAGAAAAGAGAGGTTCCTTCCATATTCTTTCACTGAGGCAATCTGTTAGTGACATTAACCCCTGAGCGCATTTCCCAGGCTCATGAATAGGGTTTAAGACTTCTTAAAGCTCCCGCTGCATACAGGATGAGACCCTTTCAAACTTTTAATTACCTTCATAGCAATAGAAAAAAAAAATCACTCCCATTGTCACCAGGAGCATTCTCAACCAGAGGGGGGAAAGAAAAATAAAGGGACAGATGTAGGAAACTCCCGCCAAACCGGTGACAACGTGGCCACACTTGAAACTTTAGTTTAGGCTGAAACTGGGAACTTGATCGATAAGTTTATCATCTCGCTCCAACGCCTCCGTGGGACTTTTACGCACARCTTTTACGCACGGCCTCCAACACAAAATGTATCAAATAGTTTAATTGACTCGTCTAAAATAGAAAAATAAACCAAAAAAACATAGAACAAGGCTGTAAACAATGATGTCAAAAATCTCTTTTATTAAAACATTTGGGTTGCCACCCGACTTCAGTTTTTTTCCCTCTTTTTAATCACAAAACAAAAACAGAGTATAAAACACAGCTTTGGTATAACAATCAATGACACCTCTTTACAAAACTAAATCTTTTCATAAAAAGTACTTCATGACAAACTTTTCCTATAAATCTTTTATCTGCATCATCACCATCGACATCCAAATATTGGAATCAACAATAAATTATTATTAAAAAAAACATGCGCTATTTAAAGCAACACCTGTTCCATAAAACGAAACATTCAGTGGAGGGGTAGTGAGTGGTCTGAGGTACCATCCCCGAAATAAAAAAAGGTCGCAGGTTTAAAACCCTGCAACAAATGTGTGCAGCCAGTTCAAATTTCTTTCTTTTCTTCTTCTTCTTTTTTAAGAGTCTCTGCTCTTTTCAACTACCAGGGTCGCCACACGGGCTCGCTGCTCTCCGAGCCCGCGCTGACCCCCACCGGGCTGACCGCCTGGGACCCCCCGGAGAAGGACGTCATACCGTGGACCGGGGACGCGGCGGTCGGTGCCGAGCTGCCGTGCACCGGACTGGAGTTCACCGCCACAGGAACCCCTGCGTTGGCGTACAGCGGGATGACGGGAGCCGTGGCGGAGGTAAAGGCCGGGTTGGGGATCAGGAAGGCGAACTGTCCGTCTGTTGCCGGGACCAGCTGGAAGCCACCGAAGACCTTAGGGGACACGGCCTCCACRGGGCTGAGCTTGGAGCCCATGGGCGCACCGCTGATGGGCATGGAGGATGGGAGCTGCACGTGCAGGGGCTGGGCCAGGTGCGCCTGCTGGGCCGGGGCCTGCTGCGGGTAGCTCACCGGCATCATCTGGCTCATGCAGCTGGACAGGTGGYTGAGGAGCCTGGACCTCACCTCCACGCTCACCCCCTCGGAAGTAGACAGGAAGCGGGTGACCTCGTTCGTGCACTCGTTGAATCCGGCTCTGTATTTACTCATGACCGTGGCGTCTGCTGAGAGCGCTGCTAGACGAGGAGGAGGAAGAACACGACAGGATTTAGTGACGTTTTTGTGGCTTCGTCTGCAAAGCGCTGGTTTTAACCAGCTGCTCCGACGTGATTGTAAACATACCGCTCATCTGCACGCGCTGCAAGTTCCTCAAGTGCTTCACAGTCATTTCCAGGATGTCTGCTTTTTCCAACTTGGAGTGTCTGGAGCTCTGCAGGAAAAAACAAATAATAAAAAGTTAGGTTTTAAGTTTAGACACAGGAGATAAAACTTATGAAGCGGGGTAAAGATTTGATTTTACTCACATCTTTCTTTAGTGCGTCCAGGATGAGAGTCTTGAGCTGCAGGAGGCTCTCATTTATTCTCGCTCTCCGGCGTTTTTCCATAATAGGTTTGGACGACTGAAAGCAAACAAGAAATTGAAATAATACTTTTTTTTTTACATTTTAAGTCTGCAGCATGTAAAAATATCTCTTCAACTGAATGCCTCTTGTTTAAAGCTTTCTCGTGTAGACACGCGACTTTATTATCTGATAATAAAATGAATTACATTCTTACTTTTCTGTGCTCGCTGGCATTTTTTGGTTTGTCCGGTATGTGCGATCCGTTTGCAGGAGCTCCGGCAATAGGAGATGCCGTCTGCTTTTCCATAGTGTCAGCTGGCATAATTGATCAAACCCGGCTGAAAAACAGGGGGAATGGTAATCCTCTTTGTCGGAATTTAAAAAATAAAAAGAAGAGGAAAAATCAGAGCCGCTTCGCGTCACTGCAAAACATGAAAGGTTCGCCTGCTGTTCCGCTTGTTATCACAGAGCTGTCATCTGGATCCGGGCTGCGTGCGGTGCCGCCGCGCACACTGACTCCGCTCCGAACTGGTGCCACCGACACACGCCGCCGCCGCCGCGGTACTTATAGGCGGCTCGCGTGCTCCCCAGTTCGTGTGAAACCCTCTCTGCATTCTTTCCCACACTCGCCTCAGCCAATAGCAGCGAGGACTCACCCATTGGGCGCGGGGCAGACCGCTGATTGGACAACACCCCCGCGGGCCGTCAGTCACGCGCAGCTCAATCAGCCCTGCAGGGACAAACAACAAAGCGGAGCGAGCGGCGGCGGTTCTCAGCAGCGATAATACGCTGGGATGTTTGCTCCCGAGCGTCAAAAACGTTACGCTCTTTTTTTATGCGCGTGCGCGCACTAAAGAATGCCTTCACCCGAGTCCCTTTGATTTTGAACTGGATTTTGGATTTCGTTTTTATCACAATACATCCTTCACATTTGTGGCAACTCGTGTTTTACTGTCAAGAATGTTTCAATAAAAAAACATAATTTACGCTAATTAAGCTTAAAACCATATCTGTGGTCTATTTTAAGACACCCCGTGCGCCTCCAAGTAGGCATCCGTGATGGCACGCGAGGCGGTCCGCAGCGGCACGCACCCGAGCCAATGGCGTGCGACCATCTTATGCAAATGAGGCAGCGCGCGCTCTGATTGGCTGCGCGACCGGCTCTGTGTCAATCATCCCCTCAGAGCAGGAGCCGCTCTCAAAGGGAAGGTGATGATGGATGTGGGGTGTGTTGTGCAGATAGAGGCGGAGGAGTTGTGTCGCATCTGTCCGCGTGCCATTCGCGCAGTTTTCGTCGTTCTGCTCCTAGCACGTGCGTTAACTTGAAGATTACAGCTTGCGGACCAAAAAGACCTCATAAAGGCCGGTGAACTAGAAACATTACCGTCACATTGACATTAGTTTAACCTTTTTTTAGACGTACCCTATAAGGTTGTTTTCTTTTTTTATAAGACTGAATTTATTGTTATCAAGAAGATGAAAAACCCAAAGAATTCATTAAATATTACCAGATATTTATTTGATATTTTTCTGGTGGATTTAAAAAAATAGTTTGGAAAAACACATCATTAGACTCAGAAACAATCCAAACCTCAGGCTCCTATAATTGGTCTGTGCGTGTATGTGTAGTGGAGGAGGGCGCCCTCTAGTGGAAAAGTGGGAAAAATCTCAGGCTGTTTCACAATTTATTTATATAGCATATATTATTACATGTTGAGTTCTTTATTAAACTATTTTATTATTGTCTAAAACCTAAAGATGGCATAGGCTAATGTTTTTCCCTTGTTTTAACAAAATATATCGTAAACCACTGGACAAATTTAAATGAAATCTTGGTAAAATGATCATAGAATGTGCATCTATAACCTGGATTTAACGCAATTCAAGATGGCCACCAGTGCTAATTAAGTTCAGCCAACACAGACATGATATCTAGTTTTTTTTAAAAGAGCAGTTTGGTATGGTAGTAGCTAAGAGTCATTCCTGACACATACTCTGAATGTGACATCTTCCAATGCGTGAAATTATGCATAGTGATACTTTTAATGTTTAAACAAGTTGTGCATGTTGGATGATGATTTAAATCAATTATTTTTCAAGGCAATCACTTTACCTTTCTTCTGATTTTATTTAAAAACTTGGAGAGTTTCACTTTCTTCCACGTCTCATTTTTAAAGATGTAATGAATGAAGTAGAAACTGGATTTTGGATTAATCCCCATCAGAGCGAAGGAAAAGTTATTTTATACTCTCCCTGTCTCGACTCGACCACAAGGTGGCACATCCCTGCTTCCATATAGAAAAGCTTTGTAATGAATAAAATGCACATAATGCAGATGTTGTTGTGTCTGGAAATGTGACACAATCACAAAATGAGAAATTAAAAAGGCTGAAGCAAGATCTATGGAAGAAATGCTCAGTGATAAATTGTCCATAATCAAATATTATTATGYAAACTGTACCACACTCAGGATTTTAGTTTAAAGATGTATTTTGTACATAAAGTATAAAGACTTTTTATGTTTTATACAACTTTATAGGCTACTTAGTATGAAGTCTGAGCTTTAAATGTTGAATGCCTACAGGTTTTGGAACAACAAATGATGCATTTTAGATCTTTTGCAATGAAAATCTGATCTAGTTCAGCAACACATTGCCAAACAAAATTTGCACATATTGCAACAGCATGTCACAAAGGGGAACAGTTGCTAAACACGACCTGCCTGCAGTCCAGACCCATCACCCTCCGCAAACATTTTGGAAGACTGTTAAACTAGAAATGTGAGAAACTAACTTCAAAACACAAAACTCAAAATACAAAAAGTAAAATTTGAAGTTGACGGACTCAGTCTGATGTCACAGCCAAAGCTGCTTCTCAGGAGAGCCGATTTCCATGTTACTGTAACGCCGCAGGACTCCTGCAACAATAGCAGAATTACAAAATTCAGGGAAGAAAAGATGCCATGGTAATCTTCAAGCTGATCATGAAGTCTGTTCCACTCTCCTGGTCGGTTGTGTGTTGCAGCAAGCCAAAAGTAATAAAATTTCTTAAGCCCTGCTTCCAGTCCGGTCTTAGTGGAGTAAAAGTCATTGTTCGGTGGCTCATGTGCCCCCATGGGTGAGCTCTGCTGGGGCATGCCGGATCCTTGTTTACCCAGGATCCTGAGTCTCAAGAGCCAGCTGTGTGTGCTTGTGCTCACGTCGCCTTTATTTGTTTTCCAATCGGCCCAAATGAAGCAGGCCTAATTCTACAGAGTGCCACAGAGATTACATAACTCTTCCCCGGGGTTTTAATTCAATAATTCTCTGTATGTGAAGAAACACCTGCTGAAGTCAGAACAAGTACAGAAAGTCTTTGTGTTTCAATAATTCCCCCTTTTCATTCGTTTCAAAGATAAAGACGAAAACTTTCAGAGTGACTCTGCCATTAGAGCATCATTAAAGCCGATGCCGACGTTTCTGAGTTGAGGAATGTGGAGAACTGAAACTGCTGATGATCTACATTCACCAGACAAGAGCCAGAAGTATACTTGCCTTTGACTCAGCTTTATGAGACGGAGGTCTGCAGGAGGAGATGAAAGAGGCCCAAGAGGAGAGAGAAGCTGTGTTTGCAGATTTAGCAGAGTTCAGTAGTCTGTTGTCCACATTCGCTCAGCGCTCAGCAGCTCCTTTTGACTGCTGCCTGCTTCATTTGTTGTTGCACAAAGAGTCCGTGCACTTCTCCAAATCCACGAGGGAGAGTCAATTATATCTGTATTAGCTGGTGTTGGCTGGACAATCCCTTTACACACACTCCTAAATCAAGTGCCTTATAGGTGATGTGTTTACAACAATGGATCTCTGACGCTAAGTAGTTACAATGCCTWTTTGGGTGGCTTTGGATTTGTTTCAGCTGCCAGATGCTGCAAAAATACAGGATGCAGAAAAACAGCAAAGTTAGATCGTTATTAAGTCACTTTAACATTGTCATTAACAAAATTTTTGTAATTTGCTTATTTTCCTAAAACTAAAATTATGTTTTTGTCCTGAGATTTTTCCCTCATCTGATCCTTTCTGAACATTTTAAACAAAAATAAAAAATACTTTTTAACATTTTACCAAACCAAGTAAATTAGGTTTTGACATAAAAAATGCGATAGGTCTGGATGTGTACAGAAGCATTCACATATATAATGTAAATTAGTAAAAGTTATTTATCTAAAGAAGTCAGCAGATTGCATCAAATCTTTACTTTGTTGCAGTATCCCATCCTGAGCAGTATGGTGGCGACAGTAGAAAGAAAAAAAAACTTTTTTTTAACAAAACGAAACCCCCAGCAGCCCGATCAGGACAAACAACATCTGCCTCGACTAGTTGGGTCAGAGAGGACAGGAAAAGAGCAGAAAAACACAGAATGACTGGTCCAGGTGTCATTTGTTTTTTATAAGAATGACATCAATAATTACAAATACAACCATGGAGAGTAGAGCGAGCAAACATAGCAGAAGAGTGAGGAAATGTTGTCTGAATGCCTCTGCATGGCCCACCCAAACCTGTAAAATTTGCTCTCAATTTTCAGTTGTATAACAAAAATCACAACCTTTTGTTTTCAGCTTTGTGTAGCCCACCCCTTCTTGTCATAAGCCCAAATT